AGCCCACCAGCCCGCTCGGCTCGTGTTCGGGCTCATTTTTTGACTAGTCCGAGCGGCTCGTGGGCGTGAACAGTACGAGTCGAGCAGGCGAGCCGACGAGCCGCTCGGCTCATTTGACACCACTACATGTCGCCGCTCGACTCATTTGACACCACTACATGTCACCCCCCATTGTGATATCAAAAGTGTTATTTCACAACACGTTTTCCTTCCATTGTGATATCACACTCTACACGTGCACATCTCAACACATGTACCTGTGTATATATGTATCTATAGACATCTTGCTTATATAACAATATGTTTAAAAATTAAATCAAATAAATCCTTTTTATTAAATAATGGAAATACATGTGTCATTGGCTCAAATTCAACATCGAGATTTTATTAAAAATTCAAGGTGAACTCTCCAAACAATAATTCTTGATTAGCTATCAACTAATTTATATATTCACGACTAAGAAATACTAGATTCTTTTTCGGATATGCCTTCAAAGGATAATGAAGGCAAGAATGCTAACTATTATTAAATTCACATGATTCAATAGAACTCATTTTGGAAATGTCCAATGTCTAAGTCACTGAATGCGTAAATAAAGTACATTTACATTGCACTATCACATAGCATTTCATATTTGATGTGACACTATGTATTTAGAAAAATCATACGATTTCCATTTTTTTCTAAAATATTATTAATTTTCTCATTCGTGTATAAATAAACTGGACAGCTTAAACTCGAGACGACATGCCTGATTTAAAGAATTGAATTGAAACTAGTCTAATAGTAGATGCATTATGCCGAAATGAACACCATTTGACATCCCTATTTATGCACTTTTGATATATTAAAAAAGAGATTTTTTTTAAAAAAAAATTCACATTTTGTTGCTAGTTGTTTTATAGGCACTTGTGCTTGTAATTTTATCGAAATAGAGTATTATTCCCTCCATAAGGAATTGAATGTTTCCTCGAAAGCAGTCATTCTCATCCCAAATCTCATCGAGTATTTTTGTCAACTTATCCTAACTCCATATTTGGTTAAGATGGGACGAGACAGGATCGAGGGCAGGATAGGGACCATCCCATTTAATTTTTTAATTTTTTTATTTCATTAGTTGGTGAAAATTATTACTTTTTTTTTGTTTGATATAAAACTAAAATTTGAAATTGACTTTAAATTGGACAGGTAACGGAGAGGGACCATGTTCCGCGTCCTCATCCTCGTCCTAGGGCAACGACACATCTCGTCCCATCCCACTTCCTTGTATCCCGTCCTAGATTGAATAATGATGGTTCATATTTATTGATTATAAGTCATATTAGATATTGATATACCGAAAAATTAAGAAATTAAATATATACTCTCAAGAATAAAGTGACATATAATTTGAAACAAATGAAAACGAAAAATAAGCTTATCCTTATCGTTCAATATCCTTAGTGATCTTTATCCAATTTTGATTCCTTTTTTCGTTCAATTTCCTTAATAATTATCATAACCTGCTGATCAAGAAATTAAAATTAATGGAAATTTGATGGATGTATATGTCCATATCGCACACAATAACTGAAATTTTATTAAGTCCTCGTTTGGTGTGAATTAAAATTAAATTTTTTATAAAAGTTGATGAACTTTTAAATTAATTGTTGACTTTGACTGAACTTAAAATCTATCAAATCGATGCAAAAAAATGCATGAATTCAAAGCACAATTTGAACCCCACCTTCCAAAATTCCACATTAAATTTTTTATTTTTTTTTTTTTGCTTTTTTTTTTTAAATGTCGTGAAATAGTTAATTATTTTTTATACCACTTGTAGACTAAAACGATAATAACAGACTTGCACAAAATCAGGATTATCTGATAATCCAAACAAATTTTTTTTTTAAAAAAAAAATCTGATAAAGATTGAATTCGAAGTTAGTTAGTTAGTTAGGCTGTGACTGACTGACTCAGTTGGACTCAAAACTCGGTGTTGATTTCGTGTATAATATCCCTGCCACTTCGATCACACAAATCTCATTCATTTTCATCTCTCTTTCACTCCACAATTCTCTCTACACTGCAACTGCGTGATTGCGAAGAAGATGACGCACCAAAGCGAGGCTCTTGCTCGCACGATCATTGGCATTATTGGTTAATTTGCACTTTATATTGTTTTCTGTGCGCCATTCATCACTTCTATGTAAATGTGTTTTCTAGCTACATAGATCCATTGAAACGAGAAATTTGTTTCAGGTTTTTTATTCAATTATCTGTTTTTTGCGAGCGAGTATATCTGGACATTTGCTTAGAACATGACATTTTTCTCAGTTTTTTCTGCAATAATCAGTATATTGTATGTATATATTTACACGCGCACAATATATATTAACATATTTGCTTAGAACGTGAAATTTATTTGAGTATTATCGCACCATTCGTAAGTGTGTTCGTGTATTGTATGTATGTGTATATGTATACGTACGATCTGCATGAGATTGTACCGATGATGCCGTTTCTTGTTCACACACGAACACTTGTTTGTGTGTGTATTTTTTACGAATATATAATTTTAATGGATTGTTTCACACAAACCTGTTTGTGTGTATTTTTTTAATTTTTTTTCTGAATATATAATCTTAATGGATTGTTTTGTGCTGGTTTTTATTTATTTTACTGATTATTTGGTATATTGATCAACAATTTTGAAGTACGCTTCCATTTTGCCTTTTTGTAGGGAATGTGATTTCATTCGGACTCTTTCTCTCCCCAGCGTAACCTCTCTCTCTCTCTCACACACACACACACAAATCCTAATAGATGCATTAGAATCATGTGGACTCAAAGCTTTCGATTATACTAACTTTAATACCTGTGTGGCTATTGAGCATAAAGGTTACGAATCGAGGTCAAACGGTTCATGGATAAAACATTGCATCAAATACGTAGAGGTCCTAATAGATGCATTAGAAGCATGATGTATGATGATTGTGTAATGGGCGGGGATTACTTTTGCAGGCCAACTTTTGTAAGAATATGGAAGAAAAAAACCACAGAAGAGTTTCATCCATACCCATACCTGGCCTGTGTTATGAACTGCCTTTTCTGGATCTTCTATGGTATACCAGTGGTGCATCCTGACAGCACTCTTGTGATCACCATCAATGGCATTGGCCTCGCCATGGAGTTGATTTATCTCACCATTTTCGCCATTTACACCAGCAAAAGGAATAGGGTAAGCACTCTTTCTTCTATCAACCCACCTAATGACATGCATAATACATGCAAATTTTAACACGGCATTGGTCTTTTTAAGTAAGCTCACTTGTTAAGTCAAGCCCCTAAATTTCATAAACGAGTTTCCTGGATCAGCACAAGATACTGAAGTTAAATTTCATAAATGAGTTTCCAGTCATCCAAGTGTCATGGCCGGTACAGTTTGTGCCAACGGTGGTGCTGCACACACATACACATACAAATACATACATACAAAAGGGTGGAGCCGTGAGAATAGAGTTGTGGGGGCAAATTTCACAAAATTTTAATTGAAAATTATAAGGATTTTTTTTTTTTTTGAAAACCTTGAAAAATCTTAAATTTAGTGTGGGGGCAGCGGACACCATTGCCCTCTGTGTAGATCCGCCCATGTACATAAACACAATTACAAACCAATTATGTCCTGTGATTACCGCCTCGTCACTAAAAGAATTTTTTTTTTTTTTGAAAACCTTGAAAAATCTATTGCAAAATCTTAAATTTAGTGTGGGGGCAGCGGACACCATTGCCCTCTGTGTAGATCCGCCCATGTACATAAACACAATTACAAACCAATTATGTCCTGTGATTACCGCCTCGTCACTAAAAGAAATGGAAGAATGCAAATCATTTAAGACTTTGAGAGAATGCATTTAGCTGATCAATTCATGTTCTATGCTCTCAAGGGCCTTAACATTTCTTGCTAGCTAGAATGATTTTAGAAAACCACTCACAATTAGTGAAATGTTTTTCAGGGAATTATCGCCCTAGTTCTTTTGGCTGAGGCAGTGCTCTATACCGGAGTTATCCTCATCACGCTTCTCTGTTTTCACACCCATAAGATGAGATCCATGTTTGTGGGGATCATATGTGTTGTCTTCGGTATAATTATGTATGGATCTCCTCTGTCCATTGTTGTAAGTCCCTTGATAATTTGCAGTAATTTTCCTACGGAATCCACATTCTTATTTTCAATGACACGAGTTATTATTCTATAATTTTCTTATTTCTTATTAACAGAGAAAAGTATTCAAGACCAAGAGCGTTGAGTTCTTGCCATTTTGGCTCTGCCTGGCTGGTTTCACAAATGGAGCCATATGGTTCACGTATGCTTTCCTCAAGACCTTTGACCCCTATCTTTGTGTAAGTTTACTTATAATGTTTTAAGATTATCTTAAAATGCTCTTATTTTCTTCTAATACATAATTGAACTGATAAATGCAATTTTATTTAAATAGACTGGAAACGGAATAGGAGGACTACTAGGATTATTCCAGCTGTGCGTATACGCATACTTCAGTTTTAAAGGGCCTCCTCCTAAGGCAGCAGGTGACGCAAAGCCATCAGAAGTACAGCTCCAAAACACTGCAACAAACACGAACACGACTTCACCACCTGTCTGAAATTTTCTTTTCTTCCTCCTTTAATCTTAGATGGATAGAATTGTTCTTTTCCTACTGGAGTTTGTTTCGTAGATGAACAAATTTTTTTTTCGTAAAATGTTTTGTTTTTCCTGTCATGGCATAAATTAATGGTATCTGATCTAATTTTTGTTATATATCATCCCAACATGTTGCATTTGCACTCTAATTATGATTAAGAAGTTAGAATGGTAAACATCTTAAAGCAGTGATATCGATCCAAGGAAATAAAGCAACAACTAAACTTGACTGCTTAAAAAATATAATGAACAGTTAGAGGTGTCTAAATGTGCCGTCACTCAGGTTCGGGTGAACAAGACCCCCAGCCTGCGCGAACTAGCTCATGTGGGCTGTACAGTATATGAAAATTGAAAAAATAAAACTTGTACAAGAAGAAAAAGTCCGTATATATTGCCAACAGATAGTTTCATTATCCACTACAACGTAGTTCAACGTACTAAATATTCTTCAAATATTTCAATGCTATTATTGCATATCCAATGCTCATGACATAACTAATTTTCTTTTCCATTTCACCACTTTTAATTTATGGGTGCATCCAATTTGTGAATCATCCTCATACTTCTAGGGCTTTCTACCTTTAGTCAGTAAATATATATTTTTTTTTTCCAATTTGTTAAGAACAACTCGTATTCTCTTTAAAAATAATAATAAATCTCTCATTTTTATTTATTAAAAACTTAAATTTGAAATTAATTTTAAACAGGGGAAGGCGGGGTGTGGACTATGTTTCCTGTATCTGTTTCGGGGCAATGATCTCCTCGTTTATCCGATTAGGCGGGTAATTTTCGTACTTTGATATAGTTGTCCTCAACCTTTGACATAAATGATATGAGTTTAACAAATTATATATTTTGTGTTAAAAGACTATTCTAGAGTCTTCTTTCTTTAACACAAGAGTTGTACACTATAAAAATTTTAAATTATTTATAACTGTAGAATTGCTACCATGTTGCCATTCGTATATTGGAAGGTGACCATACGAGTCTTTATATATGTTCAAGGACTCCATAAGTTTACAAAGAAATATCCAAAAAATCATATCTCGTACGGTTAGAAGTTAGAAGTGTGTTATAATGTACACTTGCCCTGATATTTGTTATTCCATGGATCTAGTCAATGAGTATCAATGTTATCCTTAGTAAGGGTATTGTGAAACCTGAAGAGTGTTGTTGTTGGCTATTCCATTTGTTGTCGATGGAATAACTTGTGATTGTAATAGATATGTAAATGTCGACTAAAGATGAGAGTTGGTCAAACACAAATAGTTAGTAGACTTGTGCACTCTTACTATATAGAGCAGCATAAGCAAATCTTGTAATGTATATCTTGACAGTCAAAAAAATTGTTTGGTATAGATGTATTGAGAATCTAATGAGACTGGTTGAAAATATGAAATCTGGATAGTTATACAACTTATCTCATATGTTGAAGATTTTAAGTATCATAATGGAACCAAACATTCGATTGTATTTCTATGAGAGACATTAGCAAAGAAAGCGTCTTTGTGATATATCTATACACATAATGATATATTACATCATACTTTGAATATGTTTAAAGATATGTTTGTTGATGATGTTGAATCTCTAGAATTGCATAGAGTATGACACATTGTGTATTTGAAAATTTTTGATTTAGCTTTTTGTATGCCCGTAGATGAACAATTTGGAGTTCATGTGTAATCTATTATTGAGATTACGAGATACTGATTTCCATGTACATATAAAGGATGCCGAACATATTGAGATTGTCTCACTCACATGAGTAATCACATTAGATAATTTCGGGATGCACTCAGATGAGATGAAGTGATCGTGTTCTGTACATGATCCGGTCGCCATGATAAAATATCAAGATGAGATTATTGTAAGTAATCGAAATAGATTTTTGTATCCATTAAACATGCTTGGAGCCAGATCGAGTTCTCAATTTAAGATTGTATGGATGAACGAATATAGGAATAGGTATTGAGAAATATTTTAACTAAGATCTATACTATGTTGTTTAATTTTTTTAAAGAATAAGACATACGCCTTAAGAAAGGGAGAAAATATTGTAGCACGTTTTTCATACCACGTGTGCTTTTATGATCAATATAGGGTAAACAAGTGAATGGATTTGTGCTTTCTCATTGTGTAAGACCTTGAGGTTTGTATAACCTCATATATACCCTTACGACTTTTGACTTTTTCTCGAAATTTTATTTCAATGTTGCTACTTTAACATGTTACTAATAATTATGATTGATTCACTTTGATGGGATATGTTTAGGAAATGAGTTGATTTATAGTCGAATGATTCAAGTAGAAAGGAAAACTATTTTAACCAACATTTATGTTTATATTCACTGGTTTGATAGTTGTGTTTAACCATTTAGGGTATAGAACAAAATTATGAATATTACAAGGTTACAATGTGGAATTCAAGTATGCCCCATAAATATTCGATGAATTGAAAATATTTGAATTAATGTTGAAAAATTAGTTTTGAGTATTATGAGATGTGATGTTCCTCTAATAGAGCTACTATATATCCCTTACAGATTTATAATACATTGACCTCTAATATTACTAGTTGGTCACACGATCTATTTCTTGTATAAATTTTTGTAAGATAGACCTTGAGAAAGATTTAACATATGATATTTGTTGTCACTCGTGATTCGAGTCAAACTCATCATGTACGAGTGGGATATGTTGGATAATACGGGTTGCAGGTCGCCCATGTGCGATAACCAACCCCCAAGACATTAAAAGGATTGAAAGGGGTGGTTTGAAAATTAAATTAAACCTACAACTCCCCATAACCTCCCTTAACACCCCCACATAACCTCTAATAATTGTTTAGGATAAAGAGATTAAAAAAAAAATTGACAAGAAATATGCTGAAATTCGTATGGTATATACCACCAAAATTGAAAAGTGCCAAGAATTTCATTTTTGACACGAGAACTCACAAAATTAAACACTTGGATTATGGATAATAATCTTTTTCCAATGTAATCGGAATTAGGACCACTAAAAAACAAGAAAATATAGATTTTGAAATTTGGAATGCAAGATGATTCGACCACAACAAAAAATTTGGAAATTCATCATTTAATCCGAAATTTATGTTAAAGAATTCAGCTAATTCTTTCACATGCATTTATGTATGCGAAATATAAAATGTATATCCAAATCTCTGACTTTGATACATTATGCACAGAAGGATCAGGCACCATCACTAGACGTGCAATCTGATATTTAGTATTGACATTTATGCAATACGTTATTCAAAATTTAAATTTGCTTGCACTGTTAGATAATTACTTGTTTTAAACAAAATTTCAAAAAATAGAACATAAGTCGCACGAAGGTTATTGTCTTAAGATTGTTGAAAAAATTAATCGTGTATAAATTATATTCGAATAACTAATCTTTCACGTGTATAAAATTGGACAGAATTTCAATTTACTAACACCAAATAGGTAATAGTAGAAATTTAGAAATGAGAAATGCATGAACAAGAATTCAATCGAGGCAAAAGTTCAACTTTCATTTTAAAGACAATAATGCCCCGTATAAGTGCTAACAATTTTTCGACATTCGTCTTCTAATATACAAGTTACAAAGAACATCTCCCACAATAGGAACACTACACATTACCAGGACCAGCAAACTTAGGCTATGTTTGATAGCCAAGAAATTTCATGGAAGTAGGAAAACGTTTTCCATTTTCCCCAAATTGTGGTGTTTGATAGCACAAATTTTCCACGGAAAACATTTTCCACATTTTTCTAGGTACAATCATTTGATGCACAAAAGCTTGATTTTGTTTTCCCACCTATTTGGTGGGAAAATATTTTCCACCTTTTTTTTTTGTTGTTTACAATGGGAACAAATTCTAGATACAATGGTTAAAAAAAAATTCACTTTTATTGACAANATTTTGGGTGAATAAGAAATTAAGTCCGTAACCGAAACATTCAACACGTGGAAATTGTTGAAAATCGGATTAGCGTGATAGAATATTCTATTAAAATCTCTGTGTGGCACGTGACAAAATGTTCTTGAATATATTTAATTGAAAGTATGTCTTTTTAAATGAAAGATTATGACTTTTAGAATAATTATTTTTCAAGAGGTCTCTCTCTTCAAAGAGAGACTAATTCCAATAGTTGTTTCTTTTCCAAGGATAGTATATTTTGAAATACAACTTTTTAACAATTATATATAGTCTCTCTTTGAAGAGAGAGACCTCTTGAAAAATAATTATTCTAAAAGTCATAATCTTTCATTTAAAAAGACATACTTTCAATTAAATATATTCAAGAACATTTTGTCACGTGCCACACATAGATTTTAATAGAATATTCTATCACGCTAATACGATTTTCAACAATTTCCACGTGTTGAATGTTTCGGTTACGGACTTAATTTCTTATTCACCCAAAATTGGTTCGAAAAATTGCAATGATCTATTTACAGTGTAGAACAAGTTCAACCTTCGATTTCTTCGTAATCAACTAGTGAGTCGTGCTTAAATAATCGATTAAAGTTATTCAATATTTGAACTAATTTCCAACAATCTTGTCCATGCAAGTCTGCATGCCATCAATTTTGTTGTGCTTGAGAATTTGAAACTATTTATGGGCCTCTCTACCTGCAGAAGGAGAAACAAATCTAACGCTAGTCAGGAGGGAACATTCCTCCACCCTTTGATGTGTTAAAGGCCTCCAACATAGTCCACCACTCAAAATTTTGCTACAAATCAAGTTTCCCTTTATTGTATGAATAAAGCTATTGTGCCAGAAGAAAATTGCCCATTTGGATGACCTACTCTCACTTAAGTGTAGGACCGTGTGAAATAAAAACTGAAAAAAAAAACCTTCCCCCAATGTGTGTGTCTTGTCAAGGAGGGTGTCACACCCTCCCTGGCACTGCAACTTCGTCGTTATTGTATTATCGAATAGATTCATCAAACTTTTAGTTCAAAAACTAGACTTTTTGCTGTTACATTTTTACTTCTCGAAAAATTTATTACTTGTTTTTAACTGCATTTTTGTCTACTATACTTTTTACATTTGTGGGGGAACTCAATATTTATTAACATATGAAAAGCTTGTGTTTCTACTATCGTGTTATTTTTGAATTAAGTTCATTTGTCAGAAAATGTTTGACACCTTGATTGACATACACTCACAAGCGCATGAAACGCACTTGAATGAAAAATGACAAAATATTCTTCCTATTGTGAGTGTGCTGTCAAGGAAAGTGTCTAACTCTCCATGGCAGCATAAACATAATTGATTATTTTTTGTGTTCTAATCCTAACTTTTCGAGCAATAACCACAACACAAATGAGAAATATATTAATCAAAAGAACTGTTCACCTCTAATGTTATGAAAGGACCCGACACTCAATTTCTCATAAAAGGTTTTGTAATAAAGTTGGTTTATTATCAAAGTAAATAACTTCTTATTTTTCTGTGATGAGATGGAATGCATATAATTTATTTCAAGCCCCCATTTGGCACCCATTATTTGAATTTTTTATGGTTGGAATAATTTTTAATTTTTTTTTTTTTTGAAAAATGGAAGGTAAAAAAAGAAGAAATTTTTTTGAGATCACGTGTAATATTATTTTAACCCATTATTTGAATTTTTTATGGTTGGAATAATTTTTTTTTTTTTTAAATGTACGGTTAAAAAAGAAGAAATTTTTTTGGGATCACGTGTAATATTATTTTATTAAAAAATATATGTATGAAAAGAAGTGAGAAAAAAATGAATTATAATTTTAATAAGGGTCAAACGAAGACTAAGACATACTTGTTTAACACCTATTTGGCAACAATTAAAATAAAATTCTTTTCTTCTTAAACTCATTTTTAATTACAAGTTCTCACCATAAAATATTTCACATGTAAAATCAAATTTTTTTTTACTCTTTAACTACACATTCTCCAAAAAATTTCTATTTAAAAAAAAAAAAGCCTCATTCTACAAAAACTTATTCAAAAGCAAATTTTTTAAGCTCAGCCAAGTATACTCCTTAGCCACTGTTTGACAATCATTATTTAAAAACTCTTCTTTCTACATACTCATTTTTAACCACACATTCACACATTAAAATATTTTACAAATAAACCCAAAATTTTTCTCTACTTATTAACTACACATTCTTCTAAAAATCACTATTTAAAACATTGTTTTTTTTCCAAATAACGACCATCAAACAAGGGCTTAATTTCCAACCAAAAAGACAAAAAACAGTTGGCCCAACACGAGGGAGTCCATTCCGGTTCCAAACCTACGAGAAAAAATAAAAAGAAAGGAGAACGAAAAACCATTTTCTACTCTTCACTATTCAACGTTCAACAGGAATAACCTCACGTATTAATCATTTCCATGCAAGAAATATCATGAAATTTACTTCCAGAGTCAGCACTGCACATTTCAAAACAAGGTCCTGAAGCAAGAACGCAATCACAGAGGCTGTGCATGTGTGATTCAAGATGTTGAAAGGAATTAATAGTAGTACGTTCTACTTGGAAGGTTCAGTATCTGCCAAGGATGTAACTATTGTAATACTGGTATATAAGAACGAAGGATAGAAGGGGAAAATGCACTGGATGCTAACAAATCCGGCGTTTTTTCTTATCTGGTGTGGCGTGTACTTGTGCTTTGATCCCATAAGTCTTCAACTGAAAATTCTCAAAAGCCTCAGAAATTGCTCCAACCTAACAAGTGCAAGAAGTAGGTATTTAATTGGGAATAAAAATGAAAATGTAAATGAATTTCCAAGAGAAAATCACTGACCAGTTCAGGCTTTTTGGAGTAAACTCGCACGATCATGTCTTGGTAAGATGCTGGAAGCAAATGGCTAACGCGATCATCGGGTATAGAGAATTTCTCCTCACTCGCGTAATCCTGAAAACAATTTAAGAGTGATCAAAACTTGCAGAAGTGAAAGAGGGAAGAGAGGGAAAATCTGATGGGCATATTTTACAAAGAAAAATGGATACCTTGAAAAAATTGATGCTAGGAGGTGGAACATATGCCAAAAAAAAGTCAAAATTATCAATAATCAATATTGCCGATGAAATTTTTTTTTGCTAGAGAAAAAGTGAAGCATTTTAACTCAGTCTGCGAGTCTCAAGGACAAGCACCTTTCAAGAGGATTATGCTTCCCACGAGTCAAATCTATCCGGACATTGCTGACTGCAACATCCTCTTCTTTAAGTGCCACTCCACCACTTTTCTGCATGATTAAAATGACTCAATTCTAGCATAAAACACCTGCCACTATAATCCAGGGAAAGAAACCTATGTGTACATATAATATGCTTCAATAATACACTTTAAGTACCTGTGAACAAACAATATCTTGGGCAGTTACATCCTTAAAATTGTCTAGCTGGTCCTTGGGAACAGCATACTCATTACAAAACTGTGAAATATATAGCACACATACCCCATTACAGTATATAAAAATTGAAATGACAACATTTCGAATATTAATCATGTTAGTACAATATTAAACATACAGTACAGTGTGAAAACCTGATATAAATCTCTTCGCCGAATGCGAAGGATCAAGTCCCTAGATTCCTTTAGTTCTTGATCTGGAGCTGTCTCAATAGTTTTGATTATTGTGTCATCTAACTACACCAGAAAGGAAAAGCCTGTCAGTGTTGCAAAAAGTAAAGTAAAAATAACTAAATGAGAAGAACTCCCACACCTTCCAATATTGTGAAGGATCATGTATATGAGATGCTATCTCTAGATAATTATTTGCTTTCAGTAAAGCATCTACAACCATTAACTCGATTGCCTGGAAAAGTGTAACAAAATTCAAATAACTCCTTTAGGACATCAAATACAACGTAATAATTAGAACCTATAATATCTTTGGTCCTCTGTTTATAATCTGCAATTCAATGTAATGCAAAAATTTTTTGTATACGCATTTTGTACCTTTACTTTTGCATGAGTATAGACTGTCCTGTATAGATCAGCTCGAGTGGCAAATAACTTGTGGATTGTAAGATCTGCGAATGTATCAATTAAGGAACATAGGAAAGATAACAAAACAGTCGTGTTCAATTTTTTTCATGTACTACTCACAATCTTTGGCCCGATAGCATATCTCATCCCCCATAACTCTCATTGTTTCCATCAACCTGACAGTCACCAAAAAATCATCCAGTAAAATTTTATTTGATTTTACGAGTCTTCACCCAATTTCTTCATACCTAGTGCAAGTGCAAGCCTGTGTTAAAATCAACAAGAAGATTCAACAATAACCTTTGAAACTGAAAGTTGCATCCTAGGCCACATGCTCGGCTATCACGCTCAATGTAATCAAACCTATGGACCATTTGACATCTTTGTAACAAAATCAGTCGTGCAAGCAACCAAAAACATAGGGTTGCATCATCCAGAATAATTAAATATAGATAAAAATAAAAAGAAAATAAGAAAAACATTCATATAGGTAAATCTGATTATTAGAGTCGCAGTTACTAACTTGTCAACGTCAATACCATTTCGACCATTTGCAACAATATCATACAGAAAATGCTTTTCCCTTGTTCTCTAGAGAATAGAAAAATATTTGGATTAAGACTAGAAGCGTGATCCGATGAAGAATAAAACAGCAACATCTACCATAAAATAACTTCCCACCATATTGCAAGTAAGACTTACAATGTCATAATTATTAAAAGTAAGACTTACTTTGGTCGTACCATATTTTGAACTAGCAAGTATCATCTCCTGCCAATAAGTTGCAGATAAAAGGTCAATAAAAATAAATGTGAAAGTGCTAAATCCCGTTGCTGGGGAGCAAAAGCATCTTATGTTACGCATAAAAATAAATTCTTATTATTAGTGAAACTAGCAAGGAGTCTTAAGACTAGAACAAAGTAAAATAATGAATGATTAGCCCTAACCACTCAACATTACATAAATTGTCATTTCTGGAAGAATTAGTTACATGACTCCAACCCATGAAGCCTTTCAAAACATTCAGTCCGAAGGATGACTACCAGCCAAAGACAGATACATCTGTTCATAAGAAAGTCATTGACAAAAATACAATCCCATGATTAACTAAAGCATTAATGACACCATGTCAACTTATGAACTGGACATCCAAGTAGAATGAAAAAGTTCCGATGTTACAATCTCTGTGGCAACATAGAGTAGATTCCCCCTTATTTGTATATATTAAATAGGGTGCTTAACCATTAACTTTTTGTCTTATTGTGCATAGGAAAATGGGAAAGTGAGATCAAGTTTAAGTAAAAAATTCCGCTAACCAAATGATCCTAACAAGTACACCTGATATATAAAATCCTAATTATCACAAGATTCAATTTTAAAAAGTTAGCATATTAAGCACTCTAATATTTCATTAATACTTTTAAAAGAAAATAAAAATAAAAAATATAACTCGCATGTACTAAAACTACTGATATTAAATGCTCAACTTGTCGGCTCACCTTTACTCTTTTTATAGCCTCAGAATCTATTTCAATATGATGCCCATCAACAATATGATCCACCATGTCTACAGACATTTGCTCATGAGACCTGGAATTAATTAACATCATACATACATAAATTTTTGAGAAAGCACTTTGCAAACAGAGCATGGCTTTGGGTTTCTATTTAAAAAACAAGCAGCACATTTTCATCACCGAAATTCTACACACTACCTGAACGCATGGAAATTTGAAACAACAGTAGCACAAGAGAAGATATATCCTAAAGGCAAAGTCTTTAGCAGCCAGAATTGAGCCAGTAATTATTGATAAGACAACTACTTTGACATGAATTTGAGCTTAAATTCTATGTTCTGAGTGAAATTTGATTATTAACATCAGGAAAACATTCATAATGTAAGAGACATCGAGAAAGTACGATTGGTGAAATTTTTGCTAACGAGTGTTATTTTCACAAATGGCAGTTAATTTAATTTTTCTAACATGTGAATACTTGCTATTATTTTTTTCTTTAACTACTGATATCTTGAGATCAGTGTGACATTTTTCATTACATTCCAGTTTTCTTAACACCTCTTCTTTTGTAAATAGTTTCTCCTTCAAACTACAATTTTTATTACTTAAATGCTGATTTAGATTCATGAAGTTGTTAAAATTAACATTGCAGTTTCTCAGTAGCCCAGAGGAAGTGTCAACCAGGGGGGACAAAAAAAATATTATACTATGCTGATACATTGAAAAAATAAAAAATAAATCATTATTTTTTTTTCTTGTATTACAAAATTAGTTGGGCCTGCCCCCCTCTCCCTACGCCCCTGGTGTCAACTTAGTATCAGAAGCCATGAATTCATGGAAGGAGATAATTAATAAGTATTTGAGCCTTTGTAGTTTAACTTCGGATATACCCTTGTTGAGAAAATTGAAAGAAGATACACCCAAAAAACCAGGTTTGTCCAAAAAACAGCGGGGACACTTAGCTTAGTCCCACATTTAACTGACAATAATGTGAAGGGGAAAAAGAACATAATTAGGAATGCAGGACTCTCACCAATGATCAGAGATACAAGTGAAGCACACAGAAGGGGTCATAGTTGGCACAATTATTCCGAAGCGAAATAAGAAAAGATACTGTGAGGTAACTTATAGTTTATTGACACCAATAATACAATCTCGTCTATACTACACCAAAAGATTTACTGCCATGCATCGAATGTGATCCATTCTTTAATGGATGGTCTTAAAACTAAAAATTTATCATTAATGATATAGTCATGTTGGAACTTATTCTGAACAGCGAGGTTCAACATTTCTAGCAACAAAATGGCAATCATATACATCAAAGCAACAAATGAAATACAAGAAGAATAGTATATCGAATGTACGTTGACAAGATGCCCAGAATCGGTATTACCCACCGATTCAAGGCTAGGAATGCTGGTATAAGAATTTTAGACAACAGTCCTGCTAAACAAGTACAGAATGGCAAATAAGCACCAATACATTTATCAACTGGAAACATATAAAACCTTTTACGAACATTACCATTCTGATCCCTTATGAACCATAGGAAGAAACTCGCGTTCAAACAAGTGGCTAAAAGGCCCATGGCCTACATCATGCAAAAGCCCTATAAATTTGAGCATAAGACGGACGAATACTTAGTTTACAGATAAATGGACTGGTTTCATACATAATATATGGAATTATAAAATTACTGACCAGCAAGTTTCACTGTTTGTACATCAAAGTGATCGATACCATGCTCTAAGCCCTAATAAAGACATAATGTCAGAAAGATTTACTACAGAACTTGGATTTATGTAATGAAATAAATAATCTCAGGAAAATTTCCTACTTGGTTGTTCTTAAGTTTATGAACAGCTGCACCTGCAAGCCAATACACTCCAAGAGAATGTTCAAATCTGGAGTGCACAGCTCCAGGATAAACCATGTGCGCTATACCTGCAAATTAATATAAAATAATAAAAAAACAGTTTCTTGAAGCAAGTTCGAGCCAGAAAATAACAGATGATGTATAACTGGTCACTTCATACCTAGAATATTCTTACAATGCATCAATAATAAGGCCACTGGCGGGGTTATGATTTAATAAGAGACTGGGCAAATATTAATCAAGGTGAAAACCATTAAATCTTCAACATTCAAGTACAAGGGAATAGCAGGTTATTGATGATAGAGACAGGGACATAGATGCAAATCATAAATCTTAGCTATCATATCCTTATATATGAAGACAATTCTACCTATATTATTCCAAGCAGCAACAAGAGTTCACTAGTTAAGCGACAGCAGAGACATGGCAACAACTCAAAACAACTTCTCATGAAAAGTAGGACAACAGTCGGAACAATATACTTAAACAAAGATAACCCAAAGAGAAGTGTCTAAATGCACACGTCGGACCTTAATCATTACAATGTGGGCACAGTATAAATTTGACTAGATACTGTATTTGTAGTTAACCAGTAAAACGGGAGAATAGAATTTTTGGCTTTATCTGATCAACGATAATCAATATCATGAAAACCTTCATGCAATTTATATTTGAACATCTCTAGATCATTCCATTCAATTACGGGAGATTCCAACATAAATAACAAAGTATCTAAGGATTGCTCAAGGGGCAGGGTACAAGGAAAAAAATGAGGTTATAAACTCACCAAGTTGCTTAAGATCTCGCAGCCTGTAAATAGAACGAATATCGTTGTTAGCATGAGAGAAATGTTACCAAAATGAAAAGAACAATAAGAAATAGAAAAATATGAAAATAAGTAGCAGACAAGGACTGGGAAAAAGAACGTTGTCCACCTTTGAAATTGCTCAGTGTCGATAAACTTCAAAAAGAGCTGCAAATAGATAAAGAACAGTTAAATTGCGTCATTCTGGAAAAATGTGCAGTACTGTCTTGAGCTATAACGAGAAACATAAAGGCACACAATTGTAAACTTAAGCTAGTTTGTATTCAACTTAAGAATTTAACAAGTGATTTCACAATGTTCTTACAAAAAGATTACTAAATTCCAGTAATTGCAGATTATGAACATTTAGCTTTAAATGTAATTAATGCAATATCCACCCTCCATTTTTGACCTGCGACTATTGCTTTGGAATAAGCTAGCAAATTTTGTTAATAGGAGGAGGACAAAAATTCAAACCAAATTAAATGGCAGGAATTTTAGAAACAGCCAACCATCCAATTAATTGTGTATTGTTGAAAAAACTCATCCCACCTTCATCTCCCGAGGGCTATAAATAGAGCCTGAATTCTTCTGTTTTAGACACACCCCAGAAAGAAGAAAAAGAGTGAGTTTAGAGAGATTTGTGAGATTTTTTGTAAAGAGTTTGTAATCTCCGCAATTCTATTCAAGTAAGAAATAGAATAGTATCATTTGATTTGACACACCCAAGTAAGGAAAGCAATAGAGATAGTAGAGAGAGTTTGAGAGGTTTTTTGATAAGAGTTTGTAAATTCTCTTGTAAAATTCAATTCAAGTAAGAAATAGAATAGTTTTTCTCTTATATCTCCTCTTTCGTGTTCAGAGAATCATTACAATTAATCGATCATTAATTATATATTAGTTCAGTTAAAATAGAGAAAAAAAAATGCAGCAAACTACAGTTAACTTTGTCGAGAGACAAATCGATAAAGCCAGTGAACTAAAGATAACTCAGTGAAAGGATTACCGGGCCGAGGTAAATGTTGCCATGGACATTGTCATGGACATGCTTGGAGGACCTCAAATCTTGAAATGAGCCAAAATTAAAATTCGACGAGAATGCAATGTCTTCGTTGCAAAACGCTCCCATAGTCTCTCAAGGCCACAAACAACATATGCAGAAAAACTTGACAAGAACTCCAATTCGAAACCTAATAATTACATTTGGAATTGAAATGGAGATATGAAGGAACTATTTCGAAAGCTTTGCCTACCGTATGTATTATATCCCGCCGCAGAGGGAGGGAGGATATGAGCTATGCAGGAATTCTGGGAAATGGGGAACCAAAAAAGAGAGCTATGGTAGGCGATGGATACGACGTCGTATTATTGATGAAGGAGGGCCTCTAACGGCCCTTTTAATTTCTCTTTGACCTTTCGAACAATTGAGCCAAACAGCACTAACTCGTGTCACATAGGGTCTTTTAGCACTCTTTATGATGACTTCGAATCTAAGCTCTCGAGGAAGGTTAGCTCCTATTTGGTTTTTGGAATAAAATAAGTGATTGAAAAATTATTAAAAATTCAAAATTCGGTATAATACTATTTTATTGAAAAATTAATTATAATTTAACGAGAGCTAAATTTGAAGACCTTACTATAATTCATAAATTACAAATAATCGAAATTAATTTTAGTTTGTCTTGCCAACGAGTTTCTGTTTACATCTATAACCACACATTCACCAAATATATATTAGATGTACTAAAATTATATTAAAGATTAAAATTCGTGTGCATATTAGTTTCTATGATGACATATTTGTCAATTCATGCAAAACCATTACTCTCTTATTTTTAAAAGGAGAATTGGCATAAATGATCCCCAATCTTTTTTCAAATTACATTTTTGATCCACACCTTTTCATTTTTAGCACAAATTAACGGAGTCCTTATTAGTTTCCCATGTGCAATGCAATTGCCTTTATTTGTTTTTTTTTTTTTTTATTATTTCAAGGGAATTTTTTGTCAATTACCTCTAACCATCCCACCCCACTATTGTCACCAAACCACACCACACTCAGAATATCGCCACGCCCACGCGTGAACCACTTCCCCGACTAAATCTCCATCTCTCTCTGGAACCAAACCTAGCAAAGACCTCTATAAGCAAAGTTTGAACAATGAGAATCTTGCAGCAGAATTTATTGGAAAAGATAACTCGAGAAGATTCTTCTTATGAAGGAGTTTTTAATCCAAGCAAACAACTTCCAAAATTTTGGAAGATAAGAGACTTCTCCAAGACTGACTAGTCCGTTTCTCCACCATATTTTCTTCTTATCAAATTTCTCAAAAGTTATTGCCCTTGGAATAAATTTCATGCTTTGAGAATTTTGAGATGAGACGCACAAAAGAGGACGATGATTGCTCGAATGGCTAGACTTGGTAGAACTTGAGTTATCACGATATTCGCTAAAGATATGCATGTGCAATTCTCAAAATGTTCTGGAATGACAAAAAGAGAAGGATGTGTCATCACCTATTAGATGCGAAGTTTAAGTTCACCCTGTGTTTTGATCTGAGTATAGTAGTTTACATCAGCATCTCGAAACTAAAGGTAAATTTTTCTTTTATTTTTAAGCTATATTTGAATGCATCTTCTGATTATAGAGTTTTATCTAGCCATGTCTACAAAATAAATAAATAAGGAAGAAAACAAGTAGCAAGATATAAAGTGATCGAAAAAGAAGAAGAAGAAGAAAATAGTCTCTAATTTAAGCCCCCGTTTGTCTACCATTATTTCAAAAAATTGTTTGCTACAATAAGATTCTCTACCACACATTCACCCAATAAAATATTATATACACAAACCAATAAAATTACTTTACTTTTTAACCACACATTCTCCAAAAAATACTATTTATTACTCTATTTTTCTCCCAATAATGGGAGACAAACACAAAATAACTCTTGACATTAAATCTTCCAAGTCTTTTTAGATTTATTTCTCGAATCACAAGTCTCTAATATAACTAATCTGCATTCTTGGACTTTGAAAGTTGAGGATATCGATTCTTAGCATAAAATATCATGAACTTTAAAAGTTCTAAACATGGTCTTCAACCAAACTGTCTTGGACATTGAAACACAATGATCCACATTGAATTGAATGATGTAAAAGTTCTAAATCTCATTATGAAACAAAATTTTTTTTAAAAAAAAAATTAAATTCTAAGATGCATGTATCATGGATATGAATTTTTCACAAATAAAATCATTCCAAGCTCAAAATTCTTGCCCTGCTTCATAGGTCCCGTAAAAGAAATTCAAAAACATTTAAAATTACTCCCTCTATCCCAATCATATAGGTTGAGTTTCCTTTATCTCTTGTCCCAATTATATATGCATGTTTCCTAATGTAGAATATTTTATTGTGTTCATTTACCAATATACCCTTATTAAATTTTCCCCACTTAATATGTCAACTTCTTGAAATCACCTAAATACACATATTTCTCACTTTTTGAAAACATGGAACAACTCTCATTTCTTCTTCTTCTTCTTCTAATCGTGATTATTGAACTTCTTCTATGTCTTCTCATTTCTCTGTCTTCTGTCACAAATAAAAATAATTTCTATATTAACACTAGCATCTGATAAACAATTCCATTAAAACACGATCATACACACTGTTGCTTTATTTCTCTGCATATGTGAGTATTTGTCCAAATCATGAGTATGAACTCTAAAAATCATCCACATTCCATCGAAGATATATGTACATAAATTTTACGAAGTAATCTGAACTCGAAGAAAGCGACGAGGCCATTGCTTGAATTTCCGCTTCTCAGGAGTATCAAAGTGTTATTTCTTAGATAATCAAAATCTATCTACCAAAAAACTATCTACCAAAAATCTACGAGGACTAGATTGATGCTCTTGCTAAAAAATTCGATGATGATATCAAGAAATAGTACATCCAAATTCTTCCAGGCTTATGCATAACAAATGTTTACTAGGTATCTGTTTTTTTTAGTACATTTCCTTCTGGTGTTAAGCAAATTCAATTTGTAGGTTTTTTACACATGGATGGTGTGGACGATATGGTTTAGAGTAAGAAAAATAATGCTCCCCTTCATTGCAGTCTGCTCAATGGAAAACAAATAACACAACCAAATGATATCGTTCAAAAATCAAAAGCCAAGCCTCGAAATGAGTTTTGAACATGTTTCAATATGTTAGAAACTCTAGGATATGGGAAAAACATTAGAATGATGCAACTAAAGCAAAAGAAAAAATACACGTAACATATAGTGTTGTTTCTGAGTCCTTAACGACCTCGGATGGCTAAAATCCATCCTAGGTAATCGCAAAGTGTTGGTTTGATCCGTCTCGTCGTTCTCTATTTGGAAAGGTATTATGGGCCGAAATCAAAGCTCATATGCAAATTCTGCAAAGTTGCCTGATTGAAGTTACTCGGTTGAAGTAAGAGTTTCCTCTGCCATTAGTACAACTTCAGGCTCAAACTGAATGCAATTCGGTAGTTGCCCATTTCCCGACAATTTTTATTTATTCATATGTGGAATCCTGTAATTGTTACCCCTCGAATTTTTCATCACCTCAATCATGCATGATTGCAATGTCAGAAACACATTGTTTAACTCTTCAGTAGGAAATGTCTGAAAAGCATTCTCCAGTGCTAAAATGAAGTCCTCAATTGTAGTTGGAGCCTCTTGATGTTGAATTGAATCAATGGCTCTAAAAAAATCAAGGTCTAACACATTTATATCGTTCGGAGGTTGACAACATAAACGAATATCGAATCCATCCTGTTTCGCTGCTTCTATGAAATAATCGTTAACATCCACATGTGGCTTTGCATTGTCTTGTTGAATGAAGATGGTCCTAGAACTTGAACATGGCCATTTATGTTTGATTGCAAGCAGCAAATTTTCAATCACACATGAACGGATCACATCTTTAGTTACCGACACAAAAGGCTTCAACTCCAAAGTCTCGGCTACACGATTCTTACTATTTCGCTTGGTAGGTTCTTTAGACACGAACGACCATATTCTAATTTTGCCATTGAATTCTTCATTTGTAGTAGCATCGACTCGTGAACGAGTAACGGCAGCCTAAAATATTATCTTTGTAATAAACCTTTTACTTTTACATGTGCGAAAGGGCTCTGTTTCATCCGAATGGAGATAATACTTTTGCGATATCTTGGACATATAAAACCACTTTTCATCAATATATATTAGATTATGCATGTTAACAAAAGTAGGTGTAGATGCGAGGGTACTTTCATCTACCATTGATAGGCAATATCTAGGTTGTCCCCGTCCTTCTCACCATGGTATCTGCATGTGGCATGTTAAGAAAACTTCTTATAATTAGGTATAGCAGTAGCATTGTCGTGTTCTTATTCAAGCATGCAGTTGCTTCTTATTTGGAATGTGTTGGTATATCATCATGTTCACGTGCAAATCTTGGTGGTAACCAGTACAATATTATGAATAACAATAGTGTGGAGTCCTTTAATTTAGCCCTCAAGCGACAACAAAGTTTTTCTATATGCTCGTTGGTCGACGACATGAGGTCATTTATGCAATAATGGTTTTTCAAGAGAAGAACCGCATCTACCAAATGTCAGAGTGCCTTGACGCTAAAAATGGATGAGGAACTGAGAAAATCGTTTGACGTCGATGCGACATCACAAGTACGTCACTTGGATGAACTCATGTTGGAGGTTAATGTAGGCACGAACATGTTTACTGTCGATCTTATAGGCAACACATGCTTATGTTGAGAGGTGCAAATGTGACAGATATCGTGCGCACATGCATCCCGAGCTGTTAGCGCAAAATAAAAATCACTTTATAACTTGTGTTCTCCTTACTGCACCACTGAGCTTTAACAAGCTGTATACAACGAAGTCATTCTCCCAATTGGAATGAAGTCCGATTAGGCTATTCGTCATGCTACTCATTCCATTCAAGTTTTGCCCCCAAATATACGTAGACCACCAGGGTAACTTCCTAACCAACGTAAACAATCAAGAGATGAGAATGTGAACGATGCATGGGTTACAGACACAACAGGCTAATATGTAGGAACTCAAAACCATAATGTAGGAACTCAAAAC